CCCTCCATCACTATCCCCAGACCCAGCTTCTCTCCTACCCCTAAGCCTGCCATTTTGACTGGTATATAACAAATTTAGTATGAATTTGTCCAGTAAAACTTAAAAATGGCAGATGGAATTATGAGAAAGTCACTTAATCACTTAACTTCCCGTTAGTCGTCGATTTGCTCGAGCGGGCGCCAGTAACGTCTCCATTTGTCCCTGTCGCGTGCTAGTGTAGCCCAATGGCATCTCTTCGCTCCGGGAACATGGAGGGCCTCAAACCGATCGTTCATGACCTTGACAAAGAAGTCTGACCATCTGGTAGGTGGGCGGCCACGCGGTCTCTTGACATCCCATGGAATCCAATCAGTAACAGCTCTAGTCCAACGGTCGTCTTTAAATCTCATTACGTGACCAGCCCATCTGATTTTCGACACCTTGGCAAATGAGACAGCGTCCCTGATCCTTGATCGTCGACGGATGTCAGAACTCCGGATTCGTTCTCTCATTTGAGTGAAACGTGATATTCCAAGCATAGCTCTTTCTATTCTTCTTTGGGAGACCTGAATGGCGTTCTCATCTTGTTTGCGTAGGGCCCAGGTCTCTGAGGCATATGTTAATGCAGGAAGAACAGTGGAATCAAAGAGATGTGCCCGGAGCCGGAGGTTCTTCGTCCTCTTAGCTATTTCTTCGACGTTCTTGAAGGCGTTCCAAGCCGCTCTCTTCCTCCTGCGAAGCTCGGGTGCCAGGTCATTTGTCATGTTGACCTCTCGACCTAGGTACACATAGCTGTTGCATTCGGAGATGGTCGTTCCATTGAGAGCGAATGGGGCGTCAGGAACAAGGCTGTTTCTCATAAACATTGTCTTCGTAAGATTCAGCTGTAGTCCTACCTTTCCACACTCACGGTCAAAGTCGGCCAGCATTTGTGCCGCTTGGCTGATGTTTGGTGTTATTAAAACAATGTCATCAGCAAAGCGGAGGTGGTGTAGTTGCCGACCATCTATCTTCACTCCCATTCCTTCCCATTCCAGTCGTCGCATGATGTTCTCGAGGGTGGCACTGAAGAGTTTTGGTGAAATGGTATCACCCTGCCGCACCCCTCTCTTGACATCAACGATCACTTCTTTGTAGAATGGTGAGATCCTGGTAGTGAATCCGCAATACAGCTCACGGAGGATCCTGATGTATTGGGCTTGAATGCCCTGATTGACTAGGGCTTCAATGACCGCTTCCGTCTCAACAGAATCAAAGGCCTTCTTTAAATCAATGAACGTTAAGCAGAGCGGCATCTTGAACTCCCGAGAAACCTCAATGAGTTTGGTTATCGTGTGGATATGGTCGATGGTGCTGAATCCTTTGCGGAACCCTGCTTGCTCACATGGTTGTCCTTCATCTAGTGTTCTGCCAATCCTATTCAGGATGACTCGAGTGAACAACTTGTAGATGACAGACAATAGGCAGATCGGGCGATAGTTGCCAATGTCATGGATGTCTCCCTTCTTGAACAGTAGTACGGTCCTGCTGGTTTTCCATTGAGATGGAACCTTGCATTCAGACAGGTAGCGAGTGAAGAGCCGAGCCAGTGTATTGATGAGTACTGACGGCAGGTTCTTCAGGTGTTCAGGTCTGACCTTGTCTGGGCCGGGTGCTGTTTGTTTCTTTACTGACGAAATGGCGTGTCGGATTTCGGAAGGGAGAACGTTGGGAACGACATACCCATCCTGTGGAATTTGGTATGTCGGCAAGTGGACATGGCTATCGAAGAGATTTGAGTAGAAGTCATGGATAATCTTCTCCATTGCCGTTCTGGAGGATGTGATGGATCCATCAGGACGTCGGAGGGCAGTCATCTTGGTCTTATAGTTGGCGAAGGACAGGCGGGCGTTACGAATACTTTTCCCGGCTTCTGCCGCATCTACCAGTACTTCTGCTCTTCTCTCTTTGAGGTCTTCCTTGATCGCATCTCTGCACTGCTTTGCAAGCTCGACGTTAGCTTGCGGTTGCCTGAGGCATGCGCCAAACCACGCTGGCGAATTAGCTCAAGAGTTTTCGAAGATAGGCGACTTTTTGTGGCTATCTCTCTCTTGGCGTTCTTCGCACATTCATGGAGGTGCTGAACCAGTCGATCGTATTCCTCGTCAATGTTGTCAACAATGGCATCTTCCCATGTTGCCGCAATAGTACCAAAGAGTTCCCAGTTGGTGGTCGTTCTGGGAGTTCTCTTTTTGAACTTTGCAGCCCTTTCTGAGAAAGTAAATAAATAAAAATCTGTGATGAATTGCTGTATGTTTCTAACATTTCTTGTTTTAGTATAAAACAACCTTGCAAAACTAGTTGAAACTATGAATTCCCTAACCTGTTACCTGTCCATGAAAATCTGTGTAGTTTCTTCAAACTGAATGATAATCTAGCTGGATAGAGTATTCTTCATGAAGTATTCATTATTTCACTGGTTTTTTTTTTTACTACATCCTTCTGATTTTTCACTACATTCTTCTGATTCACATAGTCTCATTTGATAGCTCTGCTGTACATCTAATGGACTTTCTTTGTACATAAGCTCTTTTTTTGATATTTCTGCATTCAATATTTTGTATCTATCTTTGTATTTTATTATTCTGAGTATAATGTGTCTTCAAGTTTTCCTCATTGGGTCTATTTTCTCTAGGACCCTTCAGGTCTCTTGGATCTCAGTGCCTGTAATCCTTTTTAAGAATTCCGGGAAGTTCTAGGAGCACACCATGGCTGCAGAACATCTTGTACTATTCATAAGTACTGTAGCACTATAGCACTGTCCTCCCATTGTTCATCGATTTGCTGGAGCAGGCACCAATAACGTCTCCATTATGAGACTTGTTACTGTTTTTGACATATCAAATACGCCACAGGTAGCTTGCCAGGCTCCGCCATGCGGGCGGAATACTCTCGGTAGCTTGCCAGACTCTCCAAGAAGGGTGGAGGAATCGAAACCAGGTCGGCTGTGTGCCAGGCAAATGCCCTACCCACTGTGCTCCAGCCCATACAAAAGCAACACAAAATTAATTATTCAGTATCTGTCTGTGGCGCAGTCTTGAGTGGTGGTGGGAAAATTCGAAATAGTGGTGGTGGGAAGGTGTAATGGTTGTGGGATTGGTGTTGAAATATTGAATGTAATTAATTATGTGAACAACTTTATGAAAATAAAATTGAAAAATAAAGAAAAAGAACTCCAGAAAGTTCTTATCAATGTTTCTTCGTCACATTTGCCTTCCTGTTCTTCAAGAACTCCATTAAATATAAATTTACCATATTCAACAATCCTACTTTTCCCCTTCTCTTCATTGTTAATTGTTTGATGACAAAGACCACATTCATGCCTGGTTGTGATGCTCACACACTTATTGTTATGCCTGATGGGGCACATACAAACTGACTGAAGTGCTGGCATATGTGCCCACAGTGCTCACCAAGGACTGTACATTTTCATTTACAGTACTTGCACATGTGCTTGTGAAGTATTGTGTATGTTTTACTTACAGTGTTTGCTAAAGGTCACATACTTAAATTGCAATCCTTGTACAAATCTAGCTGAGGTATGCAAGAGATTGTACCCATTGTAGAAATAATGGATCCATGAACATCCCTGGAATGTCCCTGGTGCCCTTCAGCACCACTGGGCTAGAAAACTGTTATACCATCACAGTCCAAGCACTGAACCATCTGACCAGATTGGATCAGTATTGCTAAGAGTCATTCCAGGGGCCACTGATTGTTGCTTAGGAGATATTCCCCAGAAAAACAAGTATATCTAAACATATAATTTAAATGACATTTTTTTAAAAATCTAATTCAATAGTAAAAGATAATTATGCAATATTATATTTACATATTTTTTCTTTCATAACAGCCACATTTTGAGGAATTTAGGGAATTATAGAACAACACATAATATGGCTATGGAGAGGGGCATGGGTCGCATGTGATGCAAGAAATTGAACTCAGGGCTTCTTCCATATGCTAGGAATATGCTCCAGCACTTGTGTTCTCTCTGACCCTGTAAATAATATTTTATAAGGAAACATTGTTTAGGCGTCATTTTAAATATGTAGACACAGAAGCCAACTGTTCAGATGAGAACTCTGGATGGATAGATTTGGTTACATCTGTGTTCTTTTTCGGTTTTGTTTCATGTTTTTCAGTTTTTCTAAGTTAGAAAATCAAATTTGTTCAATAAAAAGACTTTAAGATGTTTACTGTTTATTTTTATTTTGTAATATCAAAGATGAGAGCAACACATTTTGTTTGATTAATTACTTCTTCTGAAAACCATACATGTAGAATATTTTATCTGTATATTAAACTTGAATTTAATTGTTCTTCAGGAGATTCTACAAAGTATTCTATAAAGTCCATTTGGGGACTGGAGAGATAGTTCATGAGTTGAGGTGCTTGCCTTGCATGCAGCAGACACTGGTTGGATCCCCAGCACTACATCATCTCTCTAGCATCACTGGCTACAGCACTTGAGGTCCTGACCACTGCCTGAGCACTGTTCTCAGGAGACTACTGAGACTCCTGAGTACTGCCAGAGTGGCTCTATCTCTGGCACCTCAGGGTCCAAGCAGCACCTCATACTCAGATCCTTGTATTGACCCCCACTCCCATCCATTTGGCTTGTAATTGCTAGGAGGGATGATCAAGGTTCTGAATATTGCTTTGGGAACATCCCCCCAAAGTAAATTAATAGTAAGAAAATTAAAAGCAGGTTTATTTGTTTTATTAATATATTGTATATAAGTGATTTTTTGGAAGATTTTTAAGAAATATTTTGAACAAGTTTTTTAATATTTTATACTTTATAATATATATTATATAATATATGATATAATATATTTATATATAATATGTTTATATATACTTTATACTTTATAATATATTAAATATTTTATACTTTATAATATAATACAACTTATTTAACCTATTTTCTTTTTTGTCCATTCTCTTTCCAATTCACAAATAAAACCCCTACTCTACAGACAAGTATTCAACAGAAGGAGTGAATTTGAAAAAGATATCTCTGCTAGATCTTTGATGACTATAACCTATAACAGAGAAGATGATGATAACCAAGGTACCCAAATTGATTACTTACTCCTGGCTCTGTGCTCAAAGATGATTCTTGTCAATACTCGGGGTACTGTATGGGGTGCTAGAATCTATCCCAGGTTGGTTGCATTCAAGGGAAGCACCTTACTCACTATACTATCTCTCCAGCCCCAAGTTTTATTCATTCTGTCCCAAGCTACATAGTTTCTTCTTTTCAGCAGCACAGTAGTATTCTGCTGTGTGTGTGTGTGTGTGTATATATATATATAAATGTTATCAAATTTTTGTATAATAAGCATTATTGTATACTTGCAGTGCTGCTACACCATGCCCACCACCAGATTGCTGGGTTCTCTCCACCACTGTCCTACAGTCTCCTGTGTCTCTGTCTGAACCTATATCTTGCTCCAAAACTGAGATCACAGTTCTGCTGAATTTATCTCAGAGTTCTTTGCACTGGAGATTATCTAATCCCTTGCTTTTTTTCTTCATACTCTACAAATCAATGACATCATCTGTTGTTTGTCTTTTACTTTCTGACTCACTTAGCATGATTTCCTCTAATTCCATTCAAGTTGCAGCAAACTACAAGATTTCATCTTTTCTCATATCAGAGTGGTATTCCATTATGTTTACACATCACAATTTCTTTCTACACTCATCTGTTGTTGAGCACATGTATGCTAGCTAGAATATCAATTGATATTTAAGTTCACTCACATTTTGTGTACTGTGAATGACAGTGCTATAAACATAGGGTTGCAAATACGTTTTCAAATTAGTGTTATCATTTTCTTTTAAAAAATATCTATTTGTGGAGTTCAACCAGTACTTGGTATATCCTTTATATCAACCCCTTGTTGGATGCGTATTTGGCGAATATCCTTTCCCATTCTGTAGACTGTCTTTGTATCTTGATCACTATTTCTTTTGAGGTGCAGAAGCTTCTTAGTTTAAGATAGTCCCATTTGTCTATCTCTGTTTTCACTTGCTTAGCCAGCGGTGTGACATCTTTGAAGATACCATTAGCTTCTATGTCATGGAGGGTTTTGCCAACTTTTTCCTCAATGTACCTTATGGATTCCGGTCTGATATTGAGGTCTTTAATCCACTTTGATCTTACTTTTGTACATGGAGTTAGGCAGAGATCTGAGCCCACTTTTTTGCATGTAGCCGTCCAGTTTTGCCAGCACAATTTGTTAAAGAGGCTTTCTCTGCTGCACTTCACTTTTCTTGCCCTCTTATCAAAGATTAGATGCTCATATGCTTGGGGGGAGATGTCAGTATAATCAATTCTGTTCCATTGGTCTACAGCTCTGCCTTTGTTCCAGTACCATGCTGTTTTAATTATTACTGCTTTGTGGAGTTGATATCAAGGATATACAAAGTACTGGTTGAACTCCACAAGAAGAAAACATCCAACCCCATCAAAAAATAGGGAGATGAAATGAATAGAAACTTTCACAAAGAAGAAATCCAAATGGCTAAAAGGCACATGAGAAAATGCTCCACATCATTAATCATCAGGGAGATGCAGATCAAAACCACAATGAGATACCATTTCACACCACAGAGACTGGCCCATATCCACAAGAACAAAAGCAATCGGTGCTGGCGCAGATGTGGCGAGAAAGGGACTCTCCTTCACTGTTGGTGGGAATGCCAACTGGTTCAGCCTTTTTGGAAAACCGTATGGACGATTCTCAAAAAAATAGAAATTGAGCTCCCATTTGACCCAGAAACACCACTCCTGCGAATATATCCCAGAGAGGCAAAAAAACAAATACAGTGACATCTGCAATTGTTTGTTCATTACAGCACTCTTTACAATATCCAGAATCTGGAAAAAACCTGAGTGCCCGAGAACAGATGACTGGTTAAAGATACTTTGGTACATTTACACAATGGAGTACTATTTAGCTGTTAGAAAAGACAAAGTCATGAAATTTACATACAAGTGGTACTACATGGAAAGTATCATGTTAAATGAAATGACTCAGAAAGAAAGGGATAGACATAGAAAGATTGCATTCATCTGGGGAACATAAAGTAACAACATAGGAGACTAACACCCAAGAATGGCCAAGATTAGTACCAGGAATTTTACTCCATGGCTTGGAGGCCATCCACACATGCTAGGAGAAAAAGGGAGCTCAGATAGAGAAGGGAACACCAAATAAAGGTGTTGGGAGAATCCTCCCAGGATGGGAGAAGCATGCTGAAAGTAGACTATAGACCAAACATGATTGTCACCCATTGCCTCTTTTGCAAACCACAACACCCAATAAAAGAGAGAGAACAAAAGGGAATGCCCTGCCACAGAGGCAGGGTGGGATGGGGGGGATGGGGGGTGGGAGGGATACTGGGATTCGTGGTGGTGGGAAATGGGCACTGGTGGAGGGATGGGTATTTGATCATTGTATAATTGAAACCCAAGCACAAAAATTTGTAAGACTACAACTGTACCTCATGATGTCTCACTAATAATATATATATATATATATATATATATATATATATATGGGGCTGGAGCGATAGCACAGCGGGTAGGGTGTTTGCCTTGCAAGCGACCGACCTGGGTTCGATTCCCAGCTTCCCATATGGTCCCCTGAGCACCGCCAGGGGTGATTCCTGAGTGCAGAGCCAGGAGTAAGCCCTGTGCATCACCAGGTGTGACCCAAAAAGAAAAAAAAATCTATAGGGGTACTATTGCTGGATCACATTGTATTTCAATTTTTGTTTTTTTAAGGAATCTCAATACTGTTTGTCATAGAGACTACACCAATTTTCATTCTCACCAACAGTGTACCAGCATCTTTTTTTCCCATGATATTTTCTGAGATTTGTTATTTCCAATCTTTTTTTATATAGACCATTCTTTCCAGATGTGATATCTCACTGTACTTTTGATTTGCATTTCCCTAGAAGTACGTTATGGTAAGCATTTTTCCACATAACTATTGGTTCCTGTCTTTCAATATGTGTTTATTCAGGGTTTTGCATTTTTTCTTTTTCTGTTTTTTTGTGGGGCAATGATATAAAGACCATGCAGTACCATAGATTGAACCCAATTCTCCCACATGTGAAGCATACGCCAGCACAGTAAACCATCTCCCTGGCCTACTTTGGCCCATTTTAAAAACTGGGTTGCTTCTAAACTATTGGTTTGTGAGTTCTTAACATATTTTTCGAATCAACACCTTGTCATACATTGGGAGAAGTCCCAGTTGCTAGCTTATAAGACATCACTTTAAGAATAGAAGAAGGCCAAGAAGAGAGTTTAAAAGACCAGAGTGCATGCTTTGCTCTTAGGAGCCCTGAGTTCAGTCCCTGGACCACATAGTTCTGGTTGTGATCTTTGGTTGTGATCCAAAAAACAAAGAACAGAAGGAACAATAAGCATAAATTAATAATCTTATGTTAATGTAGATATTATAGATAACATGTATTTATGAGAATAATTGGTACTTTTATACTATTTCAATAGTTTGGTTATTGCTTTGTTTAGTGATTTCAGTATTTGTGTTGACTACCTTTAGTATTTCTCTGCTTAGTGAATATATGAAAAGGTTTTGTTAATATTTATTAAGGCTATTTGTTAATTCGAAGATAATGAATATTGTGTTTCTTTCTTTTAGGAGAAATAAAAGAAGATTATATAGGACAGGTAAATACTTTTTCTTACTATTATAAATTTAAGTTAAAAAACATTTTATATTTTATAATTTTGAACTCAGGAAATGCTGCCTATATGGTATACAGTTACTGGAAACATTTTTATAGAAAACTATTCAGATTTTCAAAGTTGCAATTATTAAAATGGTTATCCTTTTAAAAATGAAAGTGGTGGCTGTGAACTCTACCATAGCAAGGGGTCTAGCTCCACAACTCCTGAACTCTGCACAATGCCACACCATTCCAGGTAGATCAGTTGCCTGACTGACACAACTCCCCGACCTTTCCAGAATAGTGAAGGAAATTTTTCCTCTATTCCACTAGATCTAGCAGCGCCCACACCAAACTCTGCCATAGCAAGGCACAGCTCCACAACTCCTGAAGCAGGTGGCTCTCCTAATTTTACACTCTCCTAATTTTACACTACTCATAGCACAGTAAAGCACAACAAATCCAGTGGGGAAGACTCATTGAAGCCCACCAAGCTCAATGAGCAAAACCAAGAACATAGAGAGCTAAAGCAGCATCAACTAGCTTATAAAATCTTCAGACAATGCCTTTAATGACACCACCATGAAGCTGTTGAATGAGATCAAAGAAACAATAGCACAGGTAGTCAGCAAAGTCAGCAGTACAGGAGAAACAGTGAGTGCTGAAATGAGAAAACTATAAGCAAAAATGAAGAGCATGGTAGGTGATCTATTTAAAAGTCAACAGAAACTCTGAATAGCAAATTACTAGCAGCTGAGAAAAAGATCAAAGAGCTCCAAGACAAATGAAAGAAACTGCTAGAAAACAACAGAAGGTGGAAAATACTCTGAATAGCATACCAGAGAACTACAGGATGAGCTCAAAAGAAACAATACAAGAGTCACAGCAGTCCTAAAAGAACAGGTAGAATTTGTTTTTTTGTTTTGTTTTGTTTTGTTTTGCTTTTTGGGTCACACCAGGCGATGCACAGGAGTTACTCCTGGTTCATGCACTCAGGAATTACTCCTGGCGGTGCTCAGGGGACCAGATGGATTGCTGGGAATCGAACCTAGGTCGGCTGCGTGCAAGGCAAACGCCCTACCCGCTGTGCTGTTGCTCCAGCCCCACAGGTAGAAAAATTTGATGAAGAAACAATATTTAAAGAAACCATAGAGAAGAATTTCCTAGACTGGAGGAGTACAGGCACAAAGATCCACGAAGTCCAAAAGGTCCCAGCAAAAATAGACTCAACTAGGAAAACACCAAGATGCATTGCACTCAAAATGAAAAATTCCAAAGATAGAGACAGAATATGGAAATCAGCAAGATCAGTAAAGCAACCTACATATAAAGGAGATCCCATAAGATTCATAGGAGATATATTAAATGAGGATATATTAGCCAGAAATAAATAAAGAAATATAGTACAAAAACTAAACAAAAAAAAAAACCTAAACAAAATGAACACCTCACCAAGAATATTCTATCAGCTAGATATCTGATGGAACCATACAAAGTTTCAGAGACAGATAGCAACTTAGGAAATTCATAGCCTTGAGACCAGCCTTACAAAAAGTGTTAAAGATGCTTCTTTAAAGGACAGGATAAACTTCTCAGCACATGGCGTTGAGTATGGCATTACTCATGGTGCTTATGGTTGCCTTCTGCTAAATTAAGGGAAGTTTGTTTTGGGTTTTTTTTTTAATTTTTATTAGTGAAACACCATGAGGTACAGTTGTAGACTTACAAATTTTTATGCTTGGGTTTCAGTTATACAATGATAGAGTACCCATCCCCCCACCAGTGCCCATTCTCCACCTCCAATGCTCCCAGTATCCCACACACCCACCTCCATCTCCCCATCCCACTCCACCCCTGTGGCAGGGCATTCCCTTTTCTTCTCTCTCTCCTTTTGGGTGCTATGGTTTGCAAAAGAGGCATTGAGTGGCATTCATGTTCGGTCTATAGTCTACTTTCAGCAGGCATCTGTCATCCTGGGAAGATCCTCCTTATACCCTTTACTTGATGCTCCCTTCTATATCTGAGCTGCCTTTTCCCCTAGCATGTTCGGCTGACCTCCAAGCCATAGAGCGAACCTCCTGGTACTTATCTCGGCCATTCTTGGGTGTTAATCACTTAATCACTTAACTTCCCATTAGTCGTAGATTTGCTCGAGCGGGCGCCAGTAACGTCTCCATTTGTCCCTGTCGTGTGCTAGTGTAGCCCAATGGCATCTGTTCGCTCCGGGAACATGAAGGGCCTCAAACCGATCGTTCATGGTCTTGACAAAGAAGTCTGACCATCTGGAAGGTGGGCGGCCACGCGGTCTTTTGACATCCCATTGAATCCAGTCGGTAACAGCTCTAGTCCAACGGTCGTCTTTAAATCTCATTACATGACCAGCCCATCTGATTTTCAACACCTTGGCAAATGAGACAGCGTCCCTGATTCTTGATCGTCGACGGATGTCAGAACTCCGGATTCTTTCTCTCATTTGAGTGAAACGTGATATTCCAAGCATAGCTCTTTCTATTCTTCTTTGGGAGACCTGAATAGCGTTCTCATTTTGTTTGCGTAGGGCCCAGGTCTCTGAGGACTATGTTAATGCAGGAAGAACAGTGGAATCAAAGAGATGTGCCCGGAGCCGGAGGTTCTTCGTCCTCTTAGCGATTTCTTCGACGTTCTTGAAGGCGTTCCAAGCCGCTCTCTTCCTCCTGCGCAGCTCGGGTGCCAGGTCATTTGTCATGTTGACCTCTCGACCTAGGTACACATAGCTGTTGCATTCGGAGATGGTCGTTCCATTGAGAGCGAATGGGGCGTCAAGAATGAGGCTGTTTCTCATAAATATTGTCTTCGTAAGATTCAGCTGTAGTCCTACCTTTCCACACTCACGGTCAAAGTCGTCCAGCATTTGTGCCGCTTGGCTGATGTTTGGTGTTATTAAAACAATGTCATCAGCAAAGCAGAGGTGGTGTAGTTGCCCACCATCTATCTTCACTCCATTCCTTCCCATTCCAGTCGTTGCATGATGTTCTCGAGGGTGGCACTGAAGAGTTTCGGTGAAATGGTATCACCCTGCCGCACCCCTCTCTTGACATCAACGATCACTTCTTTGTAGAATGGTGAGATCCTGGTAGTGAATCCGCAATACAGCTCACGGAGGATCCTGATGTATTGGGCTTGAATGCCCTGATTGGCTAGGGCTTCAATGACCGCTTCCATCTCAACAGAATCAAAGGCCTTCTTTAAATCAATGAACGTTAAACAGAGCGGCATCTTGAACTCCCGAGAAACCTCAATGAGCTTGGTTATTGTGTGGATATGGTCGATGGTGCTGAATCCTTTGCGGAACCCTGCTTGCTCGCATGGTTGTCCTTCATCTAGTGTTCTGCCAATCCTATTTAGGATGACTCGAGTGAACAACTTGTAGATGACAGACAATAGGCAGATCGGGCGATAGTTGCCAATGTCATGGATGTCTCCCTTCTTGAACAGTAGTACGGTCCTGCTGGTTTTCCATTGGGACGGAACCTTGCATTCAGACAGGTAGCGAGTGAAGAGCCGAGCCAGTGTATTGATGAGTACTGACGGCAGGTTCTTCAGGTGTTCAGGTCTGACCTTGTCTGGGCCGGGTGCTGTTTGTTTCTTTACCGACGAAATGGCGTGTCGGATTTCGGAAGGGAGAACATTGGGAACGACATATCCATCCTGTGGAATTTGGTATGTCGGCAAGTGGACATGGCTATCGAAGAGATTTGAGTAGAAGTCATGGATAATCTTCTCCATTGCCGTTCTGGAGGATGTGATGGATCCATCAGGACATCGGAGGGCAGTCATCTTGGTCTTATAGTTGGCGAAGGACAGGCGGGCATTACGAATACTTTTCCCGGCTTCTGCCGCATCTACCAGTACTTCTGCTCTTCTCTCTTTGAGGTCTTCCTTGATCGCATCTCTGCACTGCTTTGTGAGCTTGGACGTTAGCTTGCGGTTGCCTGAGGCATGTGCCAAACCACGCTGGCGAATTAGCTCAAGAGTTTTCGAAGATAGGCGATTTTTTGTGGCTATCTCTCTCTTGGCGTTCCTCGCACATTCATGGAGGTGCTGAACCAGTCGATCGTATTCCTCGTCAATGTTGTCAACAATGGCATCTTCCCATGCTGCCGCAATAGTACCAAAGAGTTCCCAGTTGGTGGTCATTCTGGGAGTTCTCTTTTTGAACTTTGCAGCCCTTTCTCCCCGCTCTGTGAAGTAGAATTTTGCACGAAGGAGACACTACTTCCACTACCCAGTCGTCGCCACACTCCAGGACGCTTTCCGGACCCGCGTGGCCGCAAGTGGCTGCGCGACACATCATAAGACACTAAATACCCATCTTCCGGAATTGTCGTACCATATTTGATAGGGTTCAAATATGGTAACACCTACAAGGGTGATTAGAGGTCGCCCCAAAAACCTCTATCCCTCTCGGAAAGACTCGCAAGCTACCAAGAGTATTCCGCCCACACAGAAGAGCCTTGCAAGCTATCCGCTGTGTATTCGATATGCCAAAACCAGTAACTACAACTGGTCTCATTCACCTGACCCTGAAGGCTTCACCGACATGGCAGCACTGAGAAGGATGAGAAAGGAGAGGCCGACAAAATCTCAAGGCCGACCTAGGCTGCCACAACGAAGGAAGACAAAAATGATCGTCTGTACTTTCAATGCACGTACGCTAGCATCAGATGCATCCATCGAGGACCTGATGGTACAAGCGCGAATGATCAAGTACGACATCATTGGTCTGACCGAGACAAGAAGGCACGAATCTCACCATGCCGTTTTCGACACTGGAGAAGAATTGTTCCTCGGAACATGTGATAAGAGATGTTGGAGGCGTCGGTGTCCTTGTCAACACAAACGTGGCCAAGAGCATTGATTCATTCGAATGCCTAACAACCCGAATTGGACGTTTACATTTGAATAGATGTGACTCACTGCCTGCAGTTTCTATCTTTGTTGTCTATGCACCAACATCTCATT